AGCCATTTCTGCATGGTGCCAAAAGCTTGCGCCCCATGAGAGAACTTGAACTTCTCAAGTTCAAGTTCTGAGGAGCGCCGGCATCCCGGCGGCATTTATAGGTTGGGGGTGGTGGTTTAAGGCGGCTCTAAGATTGATCCTCAACATCTACATAAGATCGAATATAGCTGCATACACAGTCACATAATATGAGATGCCGCATGATGACCTTGCTCATGGCGGCTGTACACCTATACTTACCCCATGTGCGCCCAACTCCTGCACCCGCGGCCCAAAATCATGAAGCATATACGCTTTCAACATCTACCGTCATGTTCAAAATAGCCAGCCAATCAGAAGTATACCTACATGTAAGATGTATGACCTGTAGTGTATACCGTCTTCGCGCAGAATTAGAAAGCAACATCCAAAAGTTCGAAATACGTATAGATTGCATCACGCCTCTCATTTTTCAAAGTGTGCACATGTAATCAGGGTGAGGACCGAGGAAGCATGCAATTTCCTCCGTTCAAGACTGCTCGTTCAATGATTTCATTTCACAACCGACCGTTTTACCGGTACGGGTACAAGTTCAATTGAGGGCAATGTAAGTGTGGAGCTGACGATATGCACAGGCCAGCAGATCCATCACGACGACCATCTTTGAACGCAGCAACCCCCATCTGGTCAGAGCTAGGCTAAGCTAAACTGCTTCGGACTGAGCTCCCGAAACCCATATCAACAGCAACCTACTAGCTAGTCCAAAGCAGAGAAAGGAAACCAGCCCCACGTGTCCAAGCTTCCGCGTCTAGCATCCCGTTTTTCCGCTCTACTTCGCTGCGTACCAATTCTTGGCGTGCTTCGCATCGACCGCCAACGCCACTTTCAGAATGTTCTCGCCATCGAATGGATGCGCCATGGCATGAACCACACGGCTCAAGGCCTCGTCCGCGCTCTCCTCCGGCCCTTCCAGGATCATCTCGTCGTGCACTTGCAGCAAAAGCCGCCACCCTAGTTCCGCCAGCCGGGCGTCGCGGGACAGCTCCAGCATGGCCAGCATCGCCACGTCAGCAGCGCTCCCCTGTGAGCACGCGAAAGAGGTCAGAAAAGCCGAAATAAGAACGCGGCTGCGTTGCAGAATCTGCCGCCTTTTACCCTTTTCAAAGAATGCTCTTCGCAAACTGAAAAGTGACCAAGACTTTCTCCCTCTTCGGCAATTGAAAGCCTTTCCCCTACTAAACTGCCTGAACCAGGCAGTCGCCTGGTCTATCGAACCGATTACCACAGCTTCTGCGCGAGTTCATCCCCTTCTACCGAGAACGAAATACAAGATCCGGACATCCTCGCTCTTTTTGACACCTTTTTCTACTGCGCTCTGCATCCCAGCTGCTTTCCAAATGAGTCTCGGCGACCGCCCTACCTGCACGGGGGTGTTGATGGCTGCCCGCTCCATGTGGCTCTCCAGCAGCCGGTTCCTGCTGTTGATGTCGGGCAAGCGCCGCCGCCGCCCGAGCAGCGTCGGGACGTACCCCGTCTTCTTGGCCTCCTCGATGCGCGCCTTCTGCCACCGCTTCACCTCCTGCCGCGCCGCGTACCACAGCTTCACCGTCTCCTGCGCCTCCTCCAACGTCACCTGGAGAGACACGACACTTGGATGACGTCATGACTGCGTTGATGTGAACTCATGGGGAGGTTTAAGTAGAGGAAAGAGATTCAACCTTCACCTCCTGGGCACGCCGCGTACCACAGGTTCACCGTCTTCTCTGCGGCTCCTCCAGCGTCATTTCGAGGGTTTGGCACTCGGATGACGTCACGGTTACGTCAAAATGAATGTCGTGGGGAGGTTCCAAACGAGTACAAGAGTTCAAACAAAACCTGCTCTCATGGCGGACCGCAGATTTACCTCTGTCCTGCGCCTCCTATTACGTCACTCACCGACTGAAGTTTGTGTTTTCAACACAAACAGGATTGATTGAATCATGGAGAGGACTGAAGCTACGCTTCATAGTGCAACCAAGTAGGGTCGGGCAAGAATCACGCTCACGACGTCCTGACCTGGCTTGCGACAAGCTCTCATTGTCTAACTTAAAATCTGAGACCTGGAAGGAACTTCCAATGCCACGAGCACGCCGCCAACCTCGACCCAAGAGCCAACCCTCTGCTGACGTCACGAAAGAGACCGGCCACCCAAGAGCCAAACCCTGCTGACTTCATGGACAAATCCCACCACAACCCGCCCACCTTCCAGTCCTTGCTCAGCCCCGCCGCCGTTTTCCCATACGCGATGGAGAAGTTGAGCATCTTGGCCTTGCGGCGCTCCGCCCCGAAGACGTCCTTGAGCATCGGCGCGGGCGCGGGAACGGTGCCGTCTTTTGAGTCCCACTCGAGGAGGACCTCGCCGCGCTCTACGGCTTCCCGGACGTGCGCGTACATGTTGACGGCTGTGCGCGAGTGGAAGTCGCCACCCGCCTCGAAAGCGTCTTTCATGCTCTGGCAGTCGGCCAGGTGGGCGAGCAGGCGTAGCTCCAACTGGGGGTGAGAGGGGGGGTTCAGTATCGTGGGGGAGGGGGGGTGACAGGATAGCGGGATAACTATTGAATGGACACGGACAATATTCCGTCGCTTCCAACGCGTTTTCCATTCTCTGGCAGGTGGCAATTTGCGCAGAATGAGAGTAGGGGGGTCAGACTGAAAATAGCATGGGGGGGTAACATCAAACAGAGTTCGGGTTGACATCCGAGTGGAGACAGAAAAGTTAATCCGCTGAGTGACCCAAACAAGAGTCTGTGACCTCCGGCGCCACCGACTAGTAGTGGGCCAGCTTTGCGAGTCGCTGCAACCTCAAGTGGGGCCGAGAGGGGACGGTCCGACTGCAAGCAAGCAGTTCTTCTGCAGGAACTTGTAACAGCCGACTTGAAAACTCCTGAGTTGACTAGTTCCTCGAACTCTAGAGCAACCTACTTCAAACGGAGGAATATACACAAACTAATCGGTGGGCCTTACCTGACCATAATCAGCCACGATGAGCGTGTTGCCTGGGGATGCCACAAAGGCCTGTCGAATCTTGTAGCGGTCTTTCTCGAGGGCGGGCTGGTTCTGCAGGCGGAAAGGGAAATGGCTACAGATGTACTCGTATCGAAACCCGACAAGCAACGACAAAAGTTGGAGATAATGAGGCAATCAAAATCAGTTGTTTCGCCAAACATTCCTTTGATCGGCTAGGTGAGATAAATTCCAAAAGGAAGTGTGTACCAGCTTGGGTGCAACGTAAGCTGGAACTGCATCAAAGAAGGAAAGCAAGTAATCAACCTATCAAACTAGTCTGGACAGACGACATTGATGCAGCGGATTGGGCCAGAAGAACAAAACCACAACAAAAGTTTTAACATCTTGCCTGCAGGTTGGGCTTCCTGGCGCTGAGCCGGCCCGTCTCGGTGTTGATGTTGAGCGAGCAGTGCACCCGCTTGTCCGGACCCAGCATCTGGTCTCCTTGGAGCGGCTGAATGAACCCCGACAGCAGCGTGCTAATCGCGGAAACTTCGATCAGCGCCGCGATTGCGTGGCACGCTGCCTTGCCTTGAACGCCCCCTCCGAAGGCGGCGTATGCGGTGCCGTACTTGGAGACGTCGTCCTTTGGAGCGTCCTGCAGACAGCGGGGCAATTAACATAACCATACCGTCTAATGGTGATAGATCTACGGAACTGAAAGCACTGAAAATCGTTGACTGACCAACCTAAAACCCTAAGGACAAAATGAGTTACTCCGCACCTGAACCCACCCTAACCACCAGGTGAACCCCGCCCGTCCTCCTGTACCTTAAGTTCCTTGTACTATTGAAGTATATTCCTATGGATTTCAGTACTGAGAAAGCTAGAAAGCGCTCCTCAGTTGGCCACTCATCGGGGGGTGGCTTAGCGCAGGTTGCGGCATAAACTATGACTTCGTCATAACAGGAAAGATTATTATTTTGCACGGTGGCTAAGCAGGCCCCGTCCGACTTCCGGCGTTTCATACGCGACACTAGTTGTTTAAACCAATCTTTCCAAGGTCCGAGCCACCAAATGCTCCTCCCTTTGCTTCAGTATGCTTGCGAGTTTGATGGATGAACCTATCAAGCTGACGGCATCGCACTTTCGGCCACAGCAGATTTGCACGGCGTTCATCGTTGCACACGGCGACAACCTGAGCAGTGCCAATGATAAGAGCAGCCGCGCTTGCTACGCATGTCCTCATTACCAGAAAACTGGAACCAATGGCAAATGAGCTCTTCGCACCTCTGAATCGCTATCCGTTGGCTCGAAGCTCCACTCCAGTCCTCAATACATAAAGCTTACGACTCCAAAATCCGGTTTCAATCCATCACGCTCCAAACCCAAAATTCAAACCACAATCGCTGCTCACCTCTGAATCGATATCCGTCGGCTCGAAGCTCCCCTCCAGTCCTCAATACATAAAGCTAACGATCTCCAAAATCCGGTTTCAATCCATCACGCTCCAAACCCAGAACCCAAACCCCAATCTCTGCTCACCTCTGAGTCGCTATCCGTCGGCTCGAAGCTCCCCTGGTCGTCCTCCTCTACTTTGGGCGTCCCTCCAATCAATGGCCACGACAGATAAGGCTCACGCTTCAGACCCCTCCGAAACCCAAGTTTACTGCCGAAGTCGAGTTCTCCAAACTTCGCATTCCAAACAAGCGAGCATTTCGGCTTACCTCGTTATCGCTATCCGTCGGCTCGAAGCTCCCCTCGTCGTCCTCGTCCACTTCGGGTGTCGCCCAGTCAATGGCCACCTTGCCCGCGAGCGCCTTGAGCACCGGTCCGCTGACAGCTGGCCACCCGGAGGGGGTCCAAACCTCCACTGGTAAGTCGACCCCCAGACCGGTGAGCGTGATGTCACGCTGCTTCTTGGGGGGCTTGCCCTCGCGGCCGGGCTCAATGTAGCCGTCCGTGTTGGGTACCTGGGAAAAACCAATTGTGTCATGGGAGGCCCTTTGTAGTGGGCTTTACTGAATCCCTTTACCTGGCTCTACTTCCTATGCTTTGTTGCGGTGATACAAGAGGCAAGCATCTTTGATTGGGTTGCCGGTAAGGACTTTCGCGAAACATAGAGCGCAGTGACACTTGCGGGCCAGATTCGATGCGGGTATTGTGTGCGCTGATAAGCACGCAACATCGGCCATCGAACCGATTCGAAACCGAAGAAAAAGATCCTTGCCAATACAATCCCAGTCCTTTGGTGATTACTTGGAGGTTCCGGCTTCATTGAAGAAGCGCTTGTACTTCACCAGGGGATCATCACTCGAAACTGCCACTGATTAAGGAAACGTTACATCTTATTTGCATGCATCCAAGTATCTTGGACGATAATCGGCATCAATCCTGCTTGGTTGTGGCACCCACCTTGAAGACCTTGGACATCGGAAGCGACTCCTTGCTGTCCGGCTTGCTGTTTTGAATGCCCCCAAAAAGGAGCTGGCGAATCTGAATGTCGCTTCCAACGTTCATGAGCACCGCGTCGGGGCACCGCTTGGCGGCCCACCGCCGAAATCGCTCTACCGCGCGCGCCTGCTCCGTCAGGGCCAACTGCAACAGTTGGAGAGTATCAAGACGCCGTCAACTTTCCTTTTTCCTTTTCAAGACACCGCCAAGTTGTGACTGGTCTGTTTTTTCTACGAGCTTGTGATTCTAAAAGACTGAGCAAAGGCCACCACAATCACTCTCGCAAACCAGGATCCCAGGAAAATCTGTGAAATGGGACGAGCAGTTCGCTGAGCGAACGAATGACTCGTTTGGCCTGCATCACCATGTGCTGTGGTGGTGACAACCAGCGGTAAATGTTGGTATAATGTAGACCAATGTTATGAGGTACCCGTTTAATAAAAGCTCAGCCGTTCCTAACCCAGAAGCACGGAGGAGCCCAATGACCACTTTTACCCAAAGGATCGAGAAAAGTTCCTCCAGCTTGACACCAATCTCCCGACCAGCTTACCTTCTCCATCTTCGCAAGGTGATCAGTGTCAACGAGCATGCCGTTCCGCTCCATATCCGTCAGCAGTTCCCCAAACGGCTGGTAGTAGCGCTCGTAGCAGTCCCAAAGCGTCCCGCGCATGTCGTCACCCACGCCTCGCCAGGCAGTGGCCTCCAGCTTCGCCTTGAGAGCCGCCCAAAGCTGCCACGTGGCCTGACATGGAAAGAGCATCGACAAACGTCAGGAACGGGTGAGTCAAAAACAACCTGGTCCCCATATCCAAGGCTTCCAGAAATTGCGAAGCTGAGACCTCTCTGGCGAGCAGTAGCTAAGAGTAGCAGCCCGAAATGTGTCCTACATGCAGCACATCAGTGTTTATATTGTGTCGCAATTGGACATGAAGATGCTCGAGAGCACCGCAGAACAGCGACCCCCTACTGCACACTTCACAAACTTGATCCCCTTCGCTTCGATAGCATTCTGCGAAACCTCACTTTAACGTCAGCGCGAGTTTACCAACCAGACCAGAATGGTCTTCGGTCGGGCAGCCAGACTCGGCCACACAAAGCAGGTCAGCACACAAGAGCGCTCCCCGCTCACCGTGGCATCGTACGCTGCATACTGCACGAACGCCTCCCGCGTCTCCGGCGCCGTCTGCAGCTCCTCAATCGGCGGCAGCACCTTCAATTTCCCCTCCGCCCCATCCTTCTTGATGTTTGGCCTTCCGAACAGCGTCGCCATGCCGATCTTGGCGTTCGTCTTTTCGCCCATTATCTCGCGGTCCGCTGTTAGCGACTCGAGTGAGTAGCCCGCGCCGGCCTTTTTATCGCGGGCGGAATCGTAGAGGCGCGCCATGTGCATGGTGTCCGCGTGGAGGCCCCGCGCGTCGACGCCGTGGTTGTGGAGGATGTGGCGGTCGAAGCTGTAGTTGTGCCACACCTGGGGGAGAGCGAAAAAAATGCTTGTGGGACGTCTGACGCCTCTGCTGAACGGACGTGGTAGACGGGAAGTTCGACGGGAAGGAGAGCGAAGGAGATCTCCGAAAGCGAACGACGCTTATGATGAAGCCGGAAGTGAAGGAATTTCATTGTGCGTATTCAAATTAGGAAAAGGCTCTGGAACGTACAAATCGATGCCGATCACTTGCTGGCCTCGCATTCGGCGTCAATTGCGAAAAATTTGCTATTTGGGAGGCGGTACTGGCGCTTTACCATTTCCTGCATCTATTGCTGTAATTCCATATTCCAAAAGGAGTGAAGGGCTAAAAGTCAAATGTAAGGGGAGAAACTTATTCCGCATCTCCCTGCTTCTTTTATCTACCGTCGTGATAGATAGTTGGCACAAACTGACAAAAAAACCGAGTCCAGAACCGCAAAAAGACTCCTGAAATGTTGAAGCAGAAACTTTTCCTCACAGAAGGCACATTCCCCAGGATCTGACGATATGAAAGCTTCGACTCCTTGAATAGCAACAGATTGGAGCAGTACATCGGGTGCATTTCTCAGATCCAACGTGTAGCCCACCTTCTTGATGGTCGGATCTTCAAAGAAGCTCTTGAACGGCGCCAGCAGCTCCTGTCCCCCCCCCAGCAGGTCCACGAACACGCAACTATTCCCGGCCCCCCAGTCGACGTCCGGCCCCGCATAGAACGTGAAGCACGTCATCATGCCATGACCCACGGGGCTCTCCTTCTTGACGTCAATCTCCATCACCTCCGTGTCGCACGCAAACACGCGCGCGCGGTGTGACGTCAGCGCCAGCTCAGCAACCCGCTCCGCCTCGGCGAGGTCGCTCACCAGAAGGACCGCCTCGTCCCGCGCCGCGAGCGCCGCGGCGACCGCCGCTTTGGCTTCGGCTTCCGTCGGGACGGGAAGCGGTTCCGGAGGCGGAGCGTCTGGCTCCGACTTCAGGGCAGCCTTCGCGCGCGGCTTGCGCATTGCGGGGGCTCTCCGCGGTCCTGACCCCGTCTTCTCGGACCCCGTCTTGGAGAGTCGTTCGCCGAAGACCGTGCTGCTCCGCAGGAGAGGCGACATGCTTTGCGCCGGGGTCAGGGTCTGCGCAAACGGCGCAGAGGACCCGTTTCCGGGAGTCCGTGGCTGTGCACTGAGACCACCTCCGAGAGTGTGAAGGTCCGCCGCTGCTTCGATTGGCTGAGAATTTACCCCTAGAGGAACGTCCGCCACCGCGAACCCGGCATCTGAAGCACGCTCAGGGGGGTGGAGAGCGCCGGTGCCATTTCCGAGTACTCCAACAAACTGCAATTGGACCTCCAGACCCCCCTCTGCGGTCAGCACCTCGCCCACCGGCAGCCCAGGAACCCCCTGCTGTCCCAACAGCCTAGTGCTGTCGACCCTTTCTCCTTCCTCTGGCTGCAGTCTGCCCTCCTGGATCCGCCCCGCAGCCGGCATCTGCCCACTTGACACTGCTCCCACAACCGGCTTAACAGCCTCCTCGGCTGGCTTCGAAACCCTGGCCGTCTTCCTACCCACCCCTCTAGTTCTCGTTGCGGCCCCGAGACCGTCTCCTGGTGTCAAAGCCTCCGCCGCTTCCCCCTCCGCAATCTCAACCGTCGCCTCTGGCGTGGACGTCGCCCGCCAACTCCTTGTCGGCCGCTTCTGCGACACGGTGGCGCCAGCCCCGCTTGCAGACCCCAAGGCCTTCGTCTCTCCATTCTTTTCCTCCTCAGCAAACCGCAACCCTTTAGGCCGGTTCACTTTGGGCTTCTCTTTGACAATGCCCCTGTCTTTGCCTCCAAGCTCTCCATTTGCAGTGCTGGTCTCCGGGGCGATCGGTTCACCTGGCCCGTCCTGTGCCAAGACAGCATCCTGCACCTTTGGATCCCTGGCCGCTGGGACTTTAGGTGATACGGGAGAAACAGCCTTCGCAGCCCCTGCTTTTACCCTAGCTCCATTGGTCAGGGCAGCGTCCCCAGGACTCTCTGCTTCCAAACCTTTCGCTTCCACTTTGACAGCAGACTCGACACCTGCACCCTCTACCTCCGTGGCCAGAGTTTTACTGCGCCGTGGCTTTCTTGGCTTAAACGGCGGTCTCTTCTTCCCTTCGTCGCAAACGGCGCTTCGCTTTGGCTCCAAATGAGTCTCCGCTTCCCCACCCCAAGCTTCAACCAAAGTGGCCCCTTGAGGGGGGCCCTGCACTGCGCTGCTTGAGACCTCCTTGTTTGCCTCAGGAATGGGGCTCAAAGGTACGTTTGGAGGTCCATGCATGGGGCGACTTTCAGCGGACTGCTCACGTTGACGAGCAATCTGCGGCGAGTTGCGCGCTCTGTGCGCCTGTTCCTCCACAAATTCCTCCTCAAGGAGCTTCGAGCTAGCATCAGTTCGCTGCAAGGAAGCCCAGAGCTTCAAGTTCTCGGGCGACTCGTATGTTGCTCCAGGTATAACCCTCCCAAACTCGGTATGGGCACCGGTTTGCACCGCTGGATTGATGGCTATTTTCACGCTTCCTGGAGGCCTCGCCTTTTGCCAGGGCTCCTGATCCCTGTCCCAATCGCCTCCCCCCCTCCAGTATGACGCCCGTTCTGTAATAGGCTGGGCTTCCTGCAAGCATGGCTTGCTGCTGGAGGGGCGGAAGGCGGGCAGGCTCCGATTGGCGCTCCCAGCAGTGCCGGGGAGTGTCTGAGCAGGGGAAGAACCCAGAGCCAGGGGGCCCCACAGCAGGGAGACACTCTGGACGAGAAGAGAGCTGCAGAAAGAAAGTGGAAGCAGGGTCATGCATCTTCAAAACCTCCTACGCTGTGCACAGGATTTCCTGCTCGCAACAAACATACTCAGAATTGACAAAGCCGATCATAAGTGCCAAGTGCAACCTTCACTGGTTTCAAAAGCCTCGTTGTCGCTTTCGCAAAAGCGAACGAGATTGACGACACTTTTGAGGCGACTGATTGATACTTTGATGATAAGGAGAAGGGACAGAAGCATACCTGGAAGAGCCCTGTTTGCCATAGCTCTGCAGGGCGTGTGAGACCTTGGCCACGGGGCCCTCAGCCGCCGACAGCATCTCCAGTCTGAGGGCAGACATGCTGACAATGTGCTGGAATCGAGATGCAAGCTGCAATACGGCCTGACGCTGCGCAGGCCCAGTTTGCATCAGGAGGCCGCCACCACTGCACAAGAGATGCTTCAATGACTTTGAGAGTTTGTAAGGAATTATTTTTGACATCAGTTTTTGCGGTCTTGATTGGCAAAGTGTTGAAGTAGCGTGTGCAAAACACTGACCAGAAAAATATGATGGTCAGATACTTCCAAGAAAACCGTAGTGTTCTTGTGGAAGTGCAATTTGCTGATCAGACTTTGCCTTCTTCAACATGCCAAGGGCTTTTCTTCTGAGAACGCGCCACAGCATTCAGCTACAGCATAAGGAGAGTGCATGAAGAATTCGAGAACAAGTTTTTATAGGGGGAAAGTCAGGACACGCATCAATAAGACAAAATCAGATAAAAGCACCCTCGATGGTAGTGGTGGGACAAAAGTGTCCCCTAGATTCCAAACGCTCAGACCTTCCCCGAGCAAAACCTGTACTTTCATGAGTTTGTAAACTGGGAATCATTCCCAAAGGAACCTTCATGAGCAAGGGTAAGTAACATGGTGCTACATGGTGCTACAATATGTCTTGTAAGGAGACAAACGATTGCAAACATGTTATTTCGCGAGTTTAGTTGATGACAGGGGGTGTGCAAATTTTGAAGACTGTACAGAATACATGTAAGACTGCATAGTTGGATTCAATAGGAAACAACAAAATTACGGATGAGAAGCTGTAGCACCGCCAATTCATAGAGCACATACTTGTAGACCAACAAACAAGCTACCCAAACTTCAGTTGTTAGAGAAAAGAAAGCTTTGAAAGAAAAGCCTCCTTACCTTACGAGTAGGGCCTAAGCGACAATGGAATAACTGGCTTCAGACATCCGCTTGAAACCATTCCCAATGCAAACGGCTTCACCCAAGCAGGAATCAAGCGTGTCCAACGTACTTTTAGAGTATCTCAAACCATTACAATGACGCTCAGCAACGTTTCCGTTCCCGTCCCTCGCCCTTGCACCATTCTCATGTTGATGGAACGCCCCCTCCGAAACACCAAGTCTACGCGCCAAATTTGAGGGAGTGTCGTCTGACTGAGAGGGAGTGTCGTCTTCTGAGTCGGAGCTTGGCAGCCGCTCAGGAGTTCTCACAACGGAACGGAATGGCGCGCGGAATGTTTCCGCATCAGTCAACAGATCGTCGGATCCGCCCGGGGGTGCAAACGAGTCGGACTCGGAGCAGGGCGCGTTCCGTCAACCTTGTCTACGGGTGCGCAGAACGGGACCGGAAAGAGCCAGCAAAAGGGCCATGAAGTTTAACTTTTTACGAGAAACAGAAGATTTGAGCCAATCCTGGACGCCCACTTTCTGCTTGTACAGGTACTGAAGTAGAAACCATCATTTGCTCTAGCTGAACTGAGACTGAAGTCCTCTCTTTGATTTGAGCACAGGAGGAGTTCATTGGGGCGTTCTTCTGCTTAGCACAATCAGAACGATCAGGAATCATTCATGGCTGAAACTGATGGCCACTCCGCTGTGGCAGCACGGACTGCCGTGCCAACCAGGGATCTTTTCATCAATGGCACATGGGTAGCCCCTGTTCTCAATGAACGCGTCCCAATCATCAACCCAGCAACTGAGGAGAGCATTGGTGAGACCTCAGCTGAAGCTGTTCGTCAAAGTGATTATGCAGTATGTAAAAGGGGTTTTTGCAGATCTAAGCAGCTTCTGGACGGAAACAAGACTGTCTGAGAGTGTTTAGGTCATGATGTTTGTACTAGGTCCAAGAGCAAGACTCTGCTTGCAACTTTATCTTGTTTGTCCTAGGCCTAGTGTCCTGTATGTCTCTCACTGCCCTTACATGAGCTGCTTGTAGTCCCCAATCTGATGCACTTTCATGGGCAAAACCTTGCTCTCAATTATTTGGGAATCTCCGTTTTTGTTTTGGACACTTTGTACGTCTTCGTGGTTGACACTTTATATAAGCATGAGTCTCCCTAATCAAATTGATTGGAGGATTGGTGCATCTTGTGGGGTATAGGCGCAACCCCTGCGGCCACTTGCTGGGGACGTAGACAAGGCGGTGAAGGCCGCAAGGGACGCTTTCACCAGGAATGGGGGCAAGGACTGGGCGAGGCTACGGGCGCCGTGCGTGCCAAGTACCTCCGAGCTATCGCCGCAAAGGTACACGGAAGCTTCTGGCTACTTCCTGTTTCTAGCATTCAGCTTTTGGGCCCAAGATTTGACTGTAGCTGGAGTCCTTTTCTGGCAGGGGTTAGAGTTCTTCAGAGACATCACTTTTGTCCCTCCCTCTCTTCAATCTACGCACAGCAGTATTGGATCTTTTAGAGCAAGTGACTTTGTGTGTTAAGCTTATCCGAGCTGTGAGAATGAGAATGGGGCCCATGAAAACAACTTGTGAGGAATGTTCACTGAGCGGTCTTTGAGTCTCGTGAGGTTTTGAAGACTCCAGAATCCACAACTGAAAGGCTACTCTTTTTGGAAATCATCAGGTCACTGAGCGTAAGTCGCAGCTTGCGCAGCTTGAGTCCATGGACAACGGCAAGCCAATTGATGAAGCAGAGTGGGACATGGTGAGTGATCCTGGCAACCTTCATTCTTTGCTCGGCTAGCTTAGGGTCCGTCCGTTTGGTTCTTAAAAGTGGTCGCTGCATCACGATTGCCTTAAACGTGGTTGAATCCTTTGATATATGAGAAGGTTTAAGGATGCCTCAATAAGCCTTTCAACTCTCTTCAGAGGGCAAGTACTTGTAAAGAAGCAGCTTCGAAATGGCACGTTCAAGCTGTACACATGGGAATGCTCTGGTCCAAAACTACTGGGGGGTCCAAAACCACTGGGGGCCACATATTGAACTGCAGCTGTTCCTTGCCAGAAAACTTGCGAGCAGTCATCCTTCACAATCAGCTCACGAATGCTTCCCTTCAGCGCAGTCTCCTTCTTCAGAACAAGGCCCATTGATGGAGAATCACCTTTAAATTTAACGACACCTCCGACACGAACGGTTCTGCTTCACACAGACTTCAAAGGGGCTGACAACTTTGTGTGAATATCGCTCTCTTTGCAGGATGACGTGGCTGGCTGTTTTGAGTACTATGCTGAGCTGGCGGAGGGCTTGGACGCCACCAAGTACACCGAGATCAAAGTCCCCATGGACACCTTCAAATCGCACGTGACTAAGGAGCCGATCGGAGTCGTGGCCCTTATCACCCCCTGGTGAGAACGTGCCAACTTTTATTTGTCAGCAGATATCATGTGTTATGTTGTTTCTGTTAGGGAACTGAGTCAATCGGAAGGCTGACAGGCGTCAGAAACCTTCGCTTGGACATATCCAGTCGATTTGGAGTGATGTCTGCAGTGGTGATTTGATGTTAATATGGAAGTCGATGTAGAAGGATGATTGCAGTGTAAGTTCCACTTGGCTCAAATCGAGGTGCTGTTTCTGGCTTGCTGCCTTGTCTCGTTAATCCTGTCATAGATGCTGTTTTCTTTTTGACTTGCCTGTGAAGCCGCGTCTCCAGGCTCACAACTGAACATGATTGAAATGGCGGACCTCTGGAAGGCGAGTAGCAAGCTACATTGACCCCGACGAAAGCCTTCGACCACTTAGCAGAGCTTGATTCTGCTCGAAATGAACGCAAGTAGACTTCTAGTGAAATCTGACCTGCGCTTCCTTTGCCTTTCAGGAACTACCCCATGTTGATGGCAGCCTGGAAGGTTGCTCCGGCGTTGGCGGCGGGCTGCTGCGCGATTCTGAAGCCGTCTGAGCTGGCCTCGATGTGAGCACACAACGGCGTTTCCCCTCCAAGCAGAGTCGTATCAAAGCTCTCGCGGCTGCCGCTGAGTGGATTCAAGAAGCTCAATCCATCCCGTCTCTATCTTCCTGTAAAGCCGTTGGTTTTTACGTTCTTCCTTAGTCGCGGCTCCCGAAAACATCTCACAACTGGAGACACGAAACGTTTCATTCCCGACCATTGCCTTTCTCCGAAGGTACCTCGATATCACCCCTTAAAACCGTGGCTTTCATGATCTTTGTTAATTGCTGCTCCCGAACATATCCTAAAATGGAGACACGAAGCGTTTCAGATCCTAGCATTGCCTTTCTTCGAAGGTTTCTCGATATCCAAAACCGCGTGTTACGTACAGCACGTGTCTAATTATCTGAAACCGCGTGTTCCGTGCAGCACGTGTCTGGAGCTCGGCGCGATTGCTGCGGACGTCGGGCTTCCTCCCGGCGTGTTGAACATCGTCACCGGGCTGGGGCCAACGGCGGGCGCGCCGCTGGCAGAGCACCCAGGAGTCGACAAGGTACGATTGTGTGCTTGCCACGTTCGTTGGCGTTTGGATTTGCGGTTCCTTCTCAAAAGAAAAGCTCTCGACTTTGCCACGTTCGTTGCCTTTTGGATTTGCGGTTCTTCTTCAAAAGAAAATCTCTTGTGCTTGCCAGGTTCGTTGGCTTCTGGATTTGCCGTTCCTTCTCAAAAGAGATTCTCTGGTGCTTGTCCCCGTTCGTTGGTTTTCTGATTTGCGGTTCCTTCTCAGAAGAGAATCTCTGGCCTTTGTTCTCTTAGAGTCCCCGGTGATGGAAAAAGCGTCCACAATTCACGACTGTCCTCTCAAAAGTAGACCTGGGGCATCTTAAGTGGGGCGGTCGTACCAACTTTGCATGTCGTTGCAGAATCGGTAGAGACCACAAAGGTCTGCGGACGAGGGGTGAAGAGGCAAGATGTTACCAGGAAAGCTGGTCGCTTCAAAAGCTCACTCTGGCAAAGAAGAATCCGAAAGACCCGACATCTAATGTCTCTTTTCTCTTCGGTGACAGGTGGCCTTCACAGGCAGTACCGCAACCGGGCAGCGGATCATGATGGCTGCCACATAGGCGATCAAGGTCCGTCCTAGCCTTTCCAAAACCAGCCATCATTGAACGAGGGTCGCTCTTCAATGTTTACTAGAGCGCTTACCAACCGTTGTCTGCATCGCGGCGCTTCGTTGGTGCGTATTGTGGGTTGCCTTGTGCGTCATGAGTCGGACGGCAGTCCTTCCTGGATCTGGTGTCGAGCTCTGTGTCGAAATGGCACCGAAACTGCCCACTTTCCGACGAGCTGGTTCGTACTTCGTTAGCGTTGGACATCAGTTCTGTGACGTAACCCGGCACGCCCCAACGAAGGCATATGCATCGCGTCGAACCACTGCTTCTTGAAATCGTCCAGAGCTATCGGCATAATGCGCTCGAATCTGAGAGTCGTCGTGCTGATTTAGGTAGCTAAGCATTGAGTGCATGAGAAGAAAGACGAGGAGGTCGTGGGGGGGGCGAGCCTCTGGTTTCTCGGTGCAGGAGGAGGGGCGGTGACTCGTACTGGGCAGTGAGAAAGTCCATCTCGCTATGGAATTCTTCTCTCGACATGTTCAATCTAGTTGTTTTCTTGCAGCCGGTCTCGTTGCAGCTCGGTGGGAAGAGCGCGCTTATGGTGTTCGAGGACGCAGACATTGACAAAGGTAGGCGAAGTCATTTCAAAAAATTCCAAGAGATGGATCGAAGACGTTCCTAGCTGACGCCTGTGGTTGTTTTGGCGATTGGCCGTACGGTGACTTGTAGACTGAACGAAGAATGAAGTGCTTGTGGTTTTCTGACAACTGCGTACAACATTTTGAAGAGTGGGTATGCTCTAGCAGCAAAAGAGCCGAAGTCCTTGATTTTGGCGTCCAAGAGACATCTTAGCAACAAAACGTTTTTCCATAGCAAAGCTGCAATTTAGGGTCTTCGAGCCACGGTCGTTCACATGCGTTATCCACACCCTACTGAAGCGTCTGATTATTACGAATTCCTGCGGAATCCGAGTTGAACTTTTGAGCACCGTCGAACGTTTCCCTTAGTTGCTTTTGTTCGAACCCCACGGAGCATGGGTCTACACCTACCGGCTTTGAAGCATCATTCAGACCCTTCTGGCTACGAACCACAAGTTTAAATTTGTTAACGGTTCGGATGAGCCTCACTCTGCTCACCAGCATTTTGCGTCTCCTTTCGCAGCCGTGGATTGGGCATGTTTTGGCGCGTTCTGGACCACCGGCCAGTTCCGCAGTCACGATCTTCAAATTACCTTGATGCAAGAATTCCAGTCTCCCGGCTCTGAACACAAACTTCAGATCTCAGTTTGTTTTGATCCATTGTATCACTCCGACCACCATTTTGCGTCTCCTTTTGCAGCCGTGGAGTGGGCGATGTTTGGTGCGTTCTGGACCAACGGCCAGGTTTTAGTCACGATCTTTGAAACCACGTACGGCATGATGTCGAATCCGACGGCCTTTGAAACTGTTTCTAAAACTCGTATATCTGATCAATATATCGATCCGACCAGCAATTTCTTTTCCTTTCGCAGCCGTGGAGTGGGCGATGTTCGGCGCGTTCTGGACCAACGGCCAGATCTGCAGCGCCACGTCACGACTCCTCGTGCAAGAGAGCATCGCCGACGAGTTCAAGCGGAAGCTCAAGGCGTGGGCGGAGGCCATTGTGATTGCGGACCCACTGAACCGCAAGTCGCGCCTCGGGCCGCTAGTTAGCGAAAGCCAGGTGAGAGTCTTTTAGCGAGTTCGGTCTACTTTTTTGTTTTTCCTGACTCCGAGCACAAGCTCAGAAAGTGGGCGGAGGCCATCGTGAATGCGGACCCACTGATCCGCAAGTCGCGCCTCGGGCCGCTAGTCAGCGAAAGTCAGGTGAGAGTCTTTTAGGTCAATTCGAAACGAAGTTGGGTTTGCTTTTTGGTCATTCAACTGTTTTCTGAGTTCAAGCGAAGCTCAAGGCGTGGGCGGGGCTATCGTCATCGCTGACCCACTCAACCGCAAGTCGCTCGGGCCGCTAGTCAGCGAAAGCCAGGTGAGATTGTTTTGGGTTTTGGATCAGAACGGAGTTGGGTTTATTTTTTTATATTTTCTGAGTTGAGCACAAGCTCAGAACGTGGGCGAGGCCATTGTGATCTGCTGACCAACTCAACCGCATGGACGCAAGCTAGTGCAATCGCTGACCAACTGCACCGCGTTGGCCGCTTGTCCGCGAAAGCCAGGTAAGAGTTTTGTCGCTTTGAGATTGTAGCAAGAACGAGTACTTGTTATCCTCTAGTCGCAATTGGTCATGATCAGTCGCAGTTTTTGAGTCATTTGGCTAGAGAATGCCATGTGGGCTTGAAACAGCTCATGCAGAACCTCATCAAACTTCGACTACGATGGTTTTTGCAAGTCAATAACTGCTTCAACTGTCGGGTTGTAGTGAAAGACGAGGACTGGGCTGCTGCATGGTGATCACGTACTTCTTGCGGTTATGACAGGATACATAGCTCAATAAGTTGCAAAAGTAAACGCATACAGATTACGGATCAAAACATGGAGCCCTGATTTTGCAAAGACTGATTGCCCCCGTTTGCAAGTTTCCGGAAAACACTCGAACTCTAGACATCAGCTATTCGGCGACATACATCTGAGGAGTGGTTGCTTGCTCAGTTGCGGTACAAGCTGCTTAGAGGGACCCTAATCAGTAACAGGTAGCTCGTGCACAATCATTTGAAGCGAATGAGAGAAGGCAAGACGAGTCCTGACTTCCACAAGGAAGCTCGTATTGACTCCTCCCTGGGAACCCCTGAGAGCCAGACCATAACGTCCAACTGCCGCACAAATGGAGATGCTCTGCTAATAGGCTGCGATCTAACGTCCCCCAGTCCCGTGACATACAATGATGTGTGACGAAGACAGACAGCTAGCAGCACCCGGGGAAAAGTACTGCCTTGGGTGTTTGCCCAAGGCAGTACAGAATGGATGCATTTCAGGAAGTTGCTACAGGAGACCTTGGCAGATTTCTTTCATTACCGTGTCAAGAGATGTTCAGGTTACATGCGCCCACAGTAAACAATTTTCCAAAGTCGAAAGGTCTGCCTCCCCACCAAGGATGCAAACAATCTGCCAGTGCATAAGAAGCCGCCTGAGTAGTAGGGCTCCTCTGGGTATCATGGCGAAGCGGACTGTCCTGTACGGATCCGGCTATGATGGACTTCTGGAATGAGACGTTGCCTCAATAGGTGTAGTCCAGGGATGCCGACCTTATCGCAAGTATTTGGAGTTTTCTCGATCGGTTCGAAGAATCCTGTAGTTCCAGATTGCTCTCTGAATAGATGCCTGGAGTGTGCTTGGCCGGGGACCTTTGGGGTGGTCGGTAAGCCTCCCCGGGGCTCAAAGCACCGTGCAGCGCGCCCTCAAAAACTGCGTTCTGCGCGGTGCTTCCAGCCCCGGGCAAGTTTTCGTGGTCGAAGGACACACCGGGGGGTCGGAGCATCCTGCGGGGCGCCGCCAAAACAGGCGGACTGCGTGGCGCGTCGACCCTCCGACACAATCTCGTGGCCGGGTGACCTGCCCCGGGGCTCAAACCACCGCGCAACAAAAAGGCAAAGCGCCGTCGCGCGGTGCTTTGAGCCCCAGGCAACATGATTTCGCAGACAGGCAACAACTCCGGGCCTTGGTAGCTCCTCAAACAGCGCCACAGGGAAGGCGCAGCGCGCGGTGCCGCAGCCCGGGACAAAATGTCCGTGGTCAGAGGGACATACCTAGGACTCGAATTCTCATCCAAAGCGCCACCAGATCAGGTGCCCTTTTGCGTGCTTGCAGATCCGAGCAACTTTCGTGGGGTTGAAATCGTCCGGCAGCGCGACGCCAAGAAGGCACTCTTGAACTCCCCGTTGCGGCCGATTTTATTTTTCCAACCTTCCTGTCTGCTGTTGTTGGCTGCATGGTAATACGAGCTGGATTCAGGTCCCATCTTTTTTGTGTTTGTCTCTACTTCCTGATTGGATAGGCCAGGATAGGAATTGAAGTTTGAGAGCGCAAGCACCTCTCACGGTTCACGTTCCAGCGTTGATAACAACGCGTATGTACGAAGATGATTCCATCCTTTAAGAGCGACGGTTTGTGTCTTTTGGACGGATAATGGTCTCTTCTCGCCCCCTGGCCCCAAATGAAAGCGTCAGGCCATGTCTTTAGTGTGAGTGAGTCCCAGTGCTGTGAATTTTTTCGGAACCGACCGGACGGTGCGGATGTCCACGGCTGCCTGCAGCATCCTGTGGGCAGCTCTCGTGACCTTGTCGGAGTTGGTCGATTAGCTTTGCGGATTGTACTCTCCTCGCTGGTACTTCTGCCTGGACTCACCGTCACGCTCTTTTGCGGGGCTCGTTCCGCAGTTGAGCACTCCCGTTTATTCCTAACCACTCGGTCAGTTGCGGATTCACGACTCCGCTTGCGTCTTTGAAAAAGGTTCGCCGCCCTCAGGATGTCGGTGGACTGCTGACGTCATCCGCCCTCAGTTTGGTGTACTCGGTTCCTCTTCCAGGACTCTCAAATTGGATTGAGTCTGATCCGACGCCACTCTTTTTCTCTGCAGATTACCGGCTCGAGCCTTACAGTTGCATTAGAAGGTAAGCCCTCGTATTGTGCATCGTACTCCTCAAGTTCGCGATGTCTTTGCCGATCATTTGCCGCCATATTCAGGGATTGCCTGGTTTGTCATCGAGTCTGGCGAGAGCGTGAGTATGAAGATTGATCTGGCCGATGTTTTGCAGGTTGCGGAGTAGGACAGTCTCGTTCCTTTCTTAAGGTGAGAGCCCTCGAGCCATCCTCTCATCCATCTGATCAGCAAACGTACTATCATTAGGTTAGGAGCTTGTAGAAGAGTCCGTCCCAGCTGTGGGCTCTCGCAGGTTGCAAAATTGGGCATTGAAAGATTTGTTCCCTGCTCAAAATGAGATACTATTGCATACTATTTGGACTGGCTTGTCATGCTAATCCCCATAAATCCTGATTCCTTTGCAGCAGACCATGATCCTGACGGAGTTGTACATATAAGCGCGAAGGTGAGCGTGTTTACGGGGTATTCCATATTATGCACTTTTTCATGACTGACTTCCGGACAGGCGGTCGATATTGAGAGTCCTTTGGGCGTTGAACGACCCATCTGAATTGCTATATGTAGGAGTGCTGGGCTGAGCATCGTAAGACTTTGTTAGCCGGCCTTTCGTGGCGAGGCGTCCATGCGAAGATGGTCGACTTTATGTCGATCTTAGAAGGAGCGGTTTCATTGACTCCTGTTGCCTCTTCATTGACGCCCCTTCATTCTCGCAGGCAATTGTTGGGTGATCAAGGTGTTCCGTGCATCAAAAGGTAAGAAGCCATCACGTTTCCTACCGAAGGACAGCGAACGCTTCTTACACTTGTACTACCTTTAATCAGTAGAATTGAAGCTGAGCCGTTGCTTTCGGACATGAAGTGCAGCCGTTGCTTTCTAACGGTTCCTTTTCACCTCGCTTCTGTCCTGACTCCTTGTGAGGTTCGATCACCAACATACTCAGGGTCTGAATACTCAATCTGCTTCAGAATACGGCTGGCTTGTCGACGTCCGTTATCGTCTGTGGTAGCAATCAGTACGCTCGCCCTTGCAGGTCAATACCGGAGGCGGTCCTGAAGCGACAGCATCGCGCACAAGCTCGTAATTGTGGAGGAGATCATACAGGCGACATTCGTGAGTCAGGGGTTTATGCTGAAATTGGTGAGCACAGATTGAGGTTCCCTGAGGGGGACTTTTCACTGTGTGGTTAGTTTTGACGGCTTTGGTTTACATGCTTACGCACTGCGCAGGACTCTAGCGTGGCAGCAGGTACACTGGATTCGGTTAAATTATAGATCTTCGGCAAAGTCGACCAGGTTCTATTGGAGGACTGCGTCTTTACAGGTTAGGACAGTAGGTCGTACGTGCGATCCAAGATGAAGACCCACTAACTTTAGAACGACTTGGAGGTGAGGGATAGACCATTGAGCAGCTGGTCAAAGTTGTATTTTACCACTGGATACTTGTTGAAGTTACGGTTCAATATTGCACGCTATTTGCCCAGTATTATTGCACAAGATATCATGTCTGGTGCATCATAACCGACTCGAACACACAGCAGCCTCAGGCTGACCGACACCATGCTATAGCATTCCCAATATATGCACAGCATGGTTTCCATTCAGTTTTTGTATGCCTTCCACATGATTTCCTCTTGACCCCCAGAGCTCGGAGTTCGCACGGTTGCAGCACGGATTCTATGTGCATGGAAACCGTGCCATCTTCGCATGAATGTTATTGACAAGTACCGCATGGACAATGGGAACTGCATACGAAGTCTGACCGCAACGAAACCGCACGGGATTCAAATGAGAATATGTCGGGTTTCCAAGCGCTAGAACTTCGTACGCAATCTATATAAGGGGGGTGTTTTGTGACTGGCAGTCTTTACTAGAAGCTCAGCCAATAGTGACCTATTTACGCTGGTCCCAGCCCAGGCAGCGTACAAGACAGGCTTGCGCCTCCTCTTCCATAACTCTGCATATTGCACGCTCACATCATTGAGCAGTCCTTGGAATGTATCTGAGACCCCCATGTTGAAGTTAGGCAAGCTCATGTCATCATCGGGCGCTACGTGAAACGCCCACTGGCCGGAACATCCATTGCGCATACCGAGTGAATGCAAAAGCCACGGCGGTAGCCAAAGATCTGCTTCCAATCACCAATTGCGGTCTGCTCTTCTGGATTGCAAGTACTGCAGGCATGAGACAACATGCACCATGACTTCGTCAGCTGTCGTGCAATCAGCAGGGTCCATGCTATTCGATCATGCAACGAGTTTCCCATTGCTTGTGACGCAGGTGTCGCGCGCAATGATTCCCACCATTTTCCCACCCCAACGAGATGGGGCTCTCAACTTGCTCGTCTTGGCTCCTCGCCAGAGCGCGCGCTTATCTGTTGGCGGTCGCCTCGAATCTCGGACCCAATATTTGATGTGGCGGTCACGCTAGATGTAGCGGCACTGAACCTCTCTCCCGCCTCTCTGGCATGGCTGCGAGAGGTGCCCAAGGAGTTCACATGCAGCATGCCGATAGAGGGGCACTGGATAGCTTTCATCGATGCGGGGATCATCACGTACTACAGGGAAGATCTCGCGAGAGCGAAACGGTTCAAGATGCGCCTGTGCAGACAACTTAAGGTAGATCAGACAACCACTTCATCCATTGTGCAGACGTATATGAGTCTCTAGCTTCATTTCATCCTACTTTCAGACGCTAGCTCGAGCTCGTCTCGGTCATCATGTTGGGCTTGCCAATGGAATGCGTACACATGATCACACATCTACAAGCCTAGCCAAACAAAATCCAAACAAATCCTTCAAGTCACTCCCTATTATCCTATTTGCCGTTTGTCCTCTTTTGATTCTCCCTTTCTTCTCTTCGATCTGCTGTTTTACAGACAGCAAATTCCCCTCCTGCTTTTATCATTGGCTGAATCACAACGAGGCTGACGTACAGGTAAAGGCCTTACATTCAAGCCTCTTACTTAGCACTATATGTGCTACCGTCTCTACCATATCGGTCTGCTTCAACCTACACACAGGCAAACTTAACTACACAAATCCACACAAAATTCACACTCAATCCTGTCGCTCTAATTTTTCCGGATCCTCTTCAATCAGGGTCCACTCTCCGACTCTCCTTACGAAACTGATCCACACAATCACAGTGATCCATCTGCTGATGTGCTGGCCTGAAGGTAGGCGAGTGATCCCTCGCCGCTTCTGAAAAGGCAAAGCCTCCGTCGATCCAGATGGCGACCAGAGAGTACTCGTCCCTGGTTTGCCGTTCCTCCTCCGCTTGAACACCCTAAACGTTCACAGTCTGATTGTTGTCACCGAAAGTCATGTCCCTGAACAGAGGCGGCGCGATAATCGTTTTCTGCACCTTGCTCGTAGACGCCCCGAAGATGTCGCTGAAGAGAACGCGGTCGCCCATGGCCAGCGCGGTCAGCGCGGTCGCGCGGCAGCCGGCTGCGCGGTAAACGAGCTGGTAGCCAGCAACTCTCTGCCCGCGGGTGATTGCGCTCTTCTTGTCCACCATTTTCTGGATGACGTCAGCCGCCTGCATACCAGGTATTGATAAGCACTCTTGGCATGTCATTCAAAAAGCTGCGTCGTTAACTTGAGCTGGATCGGCGGGCGTCCTACCGAAATGCAGGAAGCCGGATGCAGAGATGACTGACTGTGACCTCTGATGAGAGTCTCCTCACGAAGGCATTGAAGCAAGCGTTCTCAGACCAGCCACAAAGATTGGTATCAACCGTCTGCAAAGTTTGTCATCAGCGCAATCAACAGAAACCTATCAAAAACTTCAGGTTGCGAAAGATCCGGACGAAAGTAGATAGGTTTTGGCGCCTCTCAACCGAAATGACGTGATACGTTTGATGGAACGGGAAAGTAGGGCGTGACCGAAAGCAGCATATGAGTTTCTGTACACCAAAGTCAGCAAACGGCAGAGACTCTTGGAGGTCAAAAAGCAAGGTCCTCAATTAAAAGAAACCAAAAAAGCCGCTCGGCGTTCGCCCACCTGAGAGTCGGCAGCGGCCGCGACTGCCTCTGTCTTCGCCTGTTGCACCAAGTCGGTGGTAGCTTTGCCATCTAGGTCTCGCGTCGAGTTCAGCACACTCTGAGCGGCAGCCTGGAAAGCACCCTGGGCGGCGCCGATAGCCAACGGGGTAACCGTCTGGAGTTTGAAAGAGAGCCCAGTTCAGAAAGGGATTGAGGTGCATAGTCGTGGTCTTGAGCGAGTCGAAAAAGGCGGTCAAGGTTTGCTAACGTTTTCCCCGCAGAAAGAAGAAGACAGCGTGTTGAGGCTTCCTGGTTCAAAGCCGAGACAACAGCCAATCCCTATTGTTTCTGGGGCATGAACCCTCTTTCAAGAAGCTTATTCTAAGGGCAGCAAAGCTCACACGAAGCGAGCGAAGGCGCCAAAGCCTGTGGGCAAGCAGTACACTGCAAGATCTACCTTGAGTATTTGCGAAGCCCTTACCATACACGATCTGACCGGGAGAAGACTGTATAATTCAGTGTCGAAAACTCACCTTCAGCATGTCGGAGAAGAAGCCTCGCTTGTCACCGACCGGCACTTTGCCGGCGCTCAGTGCGACAGACGGACTTGTGGGTTTGGCGACGTTCACCAGCGCGTCAAACAGGCCGATGTCGCCGGCACCAAGCGCGACGACAGCCGCAGCGTCAAGTCCGTTCTGTCCGTTGGAGGCGAGTACGGACTTGTACAGAGAAACCTTGTCCACCGCTGTTGCCCCGCTGAACAGGTCGCTGACCTTGGACTTTGTCTGCACCGAAAGCAACGAAAAAGAGTTAGTTTTGAGAAGAGTCGCTTCCTTGAAGGAAGGCTTCGCAATTGATATCTTCCAGTAAACGTTCGTCCTTGGATCAGTCGGTCCATACTAGTCACGTGCCGTATTCTTTCGGCATTTGTTTGAAAAGATACTTTTGTAGCTCTTGGAAACGCATGCCTTCCTTCCAATAAGGCCTCCTCATTGAAGAGAGCCTCGAGTGTTTGAAACACGAACAGACGGAGTGAAGAGATTGTTGGTGGAATCAGCTTTGAACCGCAGAGTCTTCACGAACTAGAGAGGGCGCAAGAAGACCGCTCAACAGGCCACCCACCTGCTCGTCTTTCACCATTGATAGGGCCACCTGGCGGGCTCCCTGTGTCGCTTCATCTCCCAGGGATCGCTCTCCAAGCGCCTTCACGTAGTCGCTGACGTGTGAGGTGCCAAGAGTGACGCCGTTGAGGATGTTCTCAAGCGCGGCCGCGCCTGGCCCGCCTAAGACGGCGGTCAGCTGGTCGCGCGCGGCGGGTTCAAGGTCGCGCGACATGCCGGACAGGGCGCCGTTCATTGCTCCCAAGAGCGCTCCCTTTCCCACGCTCAGGAGGCTGTCGAACAAGCCCCGGTTGTTGGCCGCGAGGGCTGTGAGAGCGGTGACTGAGGGGCCTGCCCGCGCGTAGAGAGCGCAGTAGGCGGCTGTGTCGTTGGCGCCGGTGGAGATCAGGTCGGTTGCCGCTTTGACCGCCTGCAAGCGGAGGTTTGAGGTTTACGGTTTGAGGTTCGAGGAGGTTCAAGTAGAGAGGCGGAGGGGGTTTTGCGCTGCTCCGCATCCTCCACTAAGAAGAGTCCTGCGGCCGGCTACGCGCTCGAGATGAGATGGCTGTCTGATGGCATTAGGGCGGCCCGTCGACGGCTCGGCATGACCAAAATAGAGAGCGGTGAATCAATCTTTCACACACCCTTTCAAGACGACGATGGCGGTGGCACGAGGATCAACTTCAGTGAGGGCTGCGCTTGAGCAGTGAGGGCTGCGCTTGAGCAATCTGCTTGCTATTGCTGTCTATCACTTCAGTTTCGGTAGGGACGAGCGTGCGGGCGTTTCGACAACGAAACTTTCGTAGCTAACAGGGGCGGAAGCGGAGGGTTCGGATTCAACAGGGGAACAAAAGTAAAGACATCTACTTTTGTCAAAGTGGCTTACCTGGCTGTCGGTAACTGTCTTCCGGATGACGTCAAGGGCATGCATCTTGAGGTCGTCGCTGCTCAGCTGGCTGCGCTTCGAGCTCAACAACGCGAGGGCAGTGTTGAGGACCGGCTCCTCCTGGCGCCGGCTGCCTGCGACCGGTAGGTCACGGCTGAGCGCGCTGTTGACCGCGCCGTTGACCGCGCCAATCGCAATCGGCTTCAGGAAGTCGAAGACGTCACCAAAAAGGCTGCGGTCCATTCCGTCGACAACGAGAGCGCGGGCTGGGCCGCCAATTGCGGCTGTGAGAGCAATGTTGGCGACAGGGACGAGGATGCTGAGCACGCTGTCAAAGAAGCCGCGGTCGCCGGCCGCAAGCGCGGTCAAGGCCGCGACCTTGGGACCCGCAGTGTCGACTATAGTGTGGTACAGCTGGGTGCGCCGGGGCGCCCCCATAAGGAGCGAGTTGTCGACCAGCTGCTGGACGGTGTCGGAGGCCTGAAAGGGTTGAAAAAGGCGATGGAGCGGGCGTGCAAGAATTGGAGTGATGCCTGAGGAGTACCTCACTTGGTTTGTGCTTGCTAGCGAAGTCAATGCTTACCTACGTTCATTCCAAAAAAGTAACTGAAAGGAGGACTTACAAGGAATGAGCCCTTGCATTTGCAAAGCCAAAGCAATGCAAGCCACCAAGCTAATATACACAAGTCGGCTGAGCTGAAGTTGGCCCCCAACTACTACCGTCTAATCTACTCGGGCCGCACTTTCCGGTAGGTGACTTGGGTGCAGCTTTTTGCATGAGAACACAGGCAAAATTCTTGTTATACCATGCCCAACTGGCAGAAGGAAGATAGACTCACCCCGGGCGTGTCGCCAGCCACCTTCTGCACTACTCGCAGCGCCTGCGCGCGCACAGCTGGATCGCCCAGGTCGCGCGCCCCGAAGGTGGAGATGGCGTTGGTCAGGAGCCCGTCGTACAAGCCGTTGCCGGTATGCGCACTCAGGTCCCGAGAGGCGAAAAGGCTCAGACCCGCCCCCACAATGTCCCCGAAGAGATCACGGTTGTAGGGATCGTCGGTAGACAGGTCGCGGCCGCCAAATGCACCATTGACAGCTCCCTGCAAACAGATCTTCGTCTATCGATGCTTCTCCCGGGGATGATTGGATGATGATTCTGTCAGAGAAATCGAAGCTGGTACCACGTATGTGGGCACCAGTTCACGAGAAGCTGGCATAATCTGCTCAGCAATGATGAGCAGAGAAGTCATGTCCTGTTGAAGAACACAGTGAGCTGCTTTCATCAGAACAACCAACTTTCGTTGATTACTTCGTTCATTTGTTGATCGTACGTGCCAAGCCAAGCCGTTGGTTCCAAGCGGAAATATTGGGCACAGCAGATTTCCATCACTCTCAATTCCTTAATTCCCTTCAACTTACGGAGAGAGCGGCTAGGCCGATGTTCTTCAGAGAGTCGAAAAGCCCGCGGTCGCCCGCCGCCAGCGCGACGAGCGCGGCCGCCTTGGGTCCCGCACGATTGTAAACGAGCTTGTAGCCGCGACGCTTGGCATCGTAGGAAAGGGTGCCTCCCGCAGGGTTGGCGAGCTGCTGTGCCGCTGAAATCACCTGACGTGACAAGAAGATGGACAAGTCTAAGGGACACTCTCACAGATCCACTCAGGGAAGTGAACAAGTGAAGGATACTGCAAATGTTGCCCTTCGCGAGTAATCTGCCGCAACCATCATTTATGCACCTGAAAGCCAACGTGGATGGGCTTGCAAAGTGCTGAAAAGGACAGTACATAGTCAGAGACAATGACGGAGCGTAATGCTTAGAAGTATTGGACCTTGATCTCTTGACATTATTGACACTTGCCAAGAGCCTACTGCGTTCGGACATTCGGCTCAAAAGTATCCTACTTCAGCAACAGCGGCTAAGAAGGATGAGGTTTTCCTTTGAATCACTTGCGCTCAAACCTCCACTTTTTGCAACTGTAAGTTTGCAACAGGCCTGAGTAGAAATAGGTACCCAAGTCATCGTCCTAACGACAAAAATTGCACTAGCAAATGCTTTGTTGAAAGAAGTTTTCATGCTTGGTTGTGATTGTCACAACACTCACCTCAGGATCGGCGACGAAGTTCTGAACAATGGCAAGGGCCTGCTCTTTGACTCCCGTTTTAGGACCAGCCATATCGCGAGTCGCCGCATCCAAAATCTGGATTGCCGTTCCCAGAAGACCGTCAAAGAGGCCGCGCGGCCGCCCGCCGCCACCCACCACGCTTCGAATTCCGATGGCACCTTGGAGCGCACCAGCGGCCATGCCGGCCGCGCCTGAGCCCACACCTCCGAGGGCGCCCTGGAGCGCGCCAGCGGCCATTGGCTTGACCGTGCTCCAGAGGTCGTCGAAGAAGCCACGCTCGTCTGCCGGCATGCGCGTGAGCGCGCCCAGCGCGTCATTGATGACGTCAGCAAGTCCGCTCTGGACGTCCGCCGCCAAGCCCGATGGAACAAGGGGATCAGCGACCCAGACGGCAGCAGAACGGAGTTGGGTGTGCTCAGGGAGAAGCGTAAGGGCGTCGTCGAAGAGCGCGCAGTCGCCGGCAGCAAGCGCGGTAAGTGCGGTGACGGTGGGACCGGCCAGGGTGTTGAGGGCCTGATACTCAGCCGCCTTCTGGGCGGAGTGAAGGTTTCCCACGGAACTGGCAAGGGCGCTCACGGCGGACTTCACCTGTGCGGTGGAGTGAAGACGGGTCAACACGTCATCTGGTGGCATTAAGGAGTGCCCGGCAAAGCGCGCGTGTACAAATGTAGACCTTTTACTCCTTGAGGTCAAAACTTCAAAAAACACTCAGGACAGCACGCCCCCGAAATGATCATACTGCTCAAGTACGTGTTTAAAGCTTTGAAAGAGGCGAACAAGAGCGGCTGACAAACTTTGTGGCCGAATGCATTGGCACGCGATTTGGAGGCGCCTGCATAGCTCCTGAAATCATGAGAGTCTTACCTTCTGAGTCACGGTGTGTTGGTGATTTGCGCCAGCGCCCACTTCTTGTTCACAGCAGACTCCAAATCACCGGTCGCAGGAAGGCCAGGCAACTTCAAGAGAAGGCTTGTCAGACGCCCCAGGCCCGGCGGTGGCACCGCCATATCCCGTGTCTTTGATGGTGTAAAGGGAGCCAGGAAGGGAGTCTGCACCCGGTCGCTCATGCAGTTCACGTTCGGGATTTGAGGCCGGCCGTTGGCTTGGAGGTCAGCCAGGATAAGCTTCTTCAAGCCCGCAATCCCGAGGGTCCTGGCTTTAGGGGCCTCTCCGTAAAGGAAGTAGCTGAAGGCGCCGTAGGCGTTGAACTCCTGTGCAGGCTCCTCAAAGCGGCAGGCCGAGAGCACAGTCGGGGAATCCTGCAGTGGAGAGCGACCGGGATTGTCGCTTGATTGTAATTCTGTCACAGATGATTAATCCTTTGTGCTTAGCACGATTGAGTAGGAAAACGACCAAGTTAGCCAGGTGAAAAGCTAGCCACTCGTTCACAACCAACCAACCGTGCGTGTTGCCTGCAGTCACTTCGTGCACATCTTTCTAAACCTTAATCAGGCGGCCCAAATCCATAACCTTAATTACCTGATTGCTGGAAGTCACGGTGAAAAGGTTGCTGATAGTCGGGGCTGCAGTGGGTGCGAGGTCTCGGGCAGCGCTGTGGGCCTTCATTGCCCCGTGTTCGATGAAAGGGTTGGGGTTGGGAAGGTATCGAATCACGGGTGCAGAGACCTGGGTGCTGGGCAGGTCACGGGTGGCTGCAAAAGTGCGGACAGAGTCTTCATGTTGACACAACCGCAACGGTGCTTACTAAGTTGGATGCAATTACAGGTTAGCCTCAAGGGCATTGTCGAAACAGCACATGGGCAAAGGTCCAACTGCACAAAGAAGTCCTTCTCAAAAGACTACAGCGTACATATCTTCTCGTCAATTGGAAGTTGCTTTTGCTAACTAATCCAACAAGCGACACGGGCAACATGCTCAGACTATGCTAGCGTCGCTTGTAGTGCTACCTAGCTTTCATCACACATTCTCAGGACGCAACCGACGTGGAGTCTCCACCCTAGCTCAAACTCTGAGGTCATTAAGGAGGACTTGCGGCACCCACCTTTTGCGCCAGAGTGGCAGCAGTCCAGGATGAGGTACACGCTGACGCCCTTGGACAGGCTATCAAAAGCTCCCTTGAATTCGGTGTCCAACAAGCAGTTGTTGAAGACACCGGTCTTGCTGTCAATCTCGATGTCTGAAGGAACCAGGATGGCAGTCTTGTCGCTCACAAGGGGTTACTGCAAAAGACATCAATTTACGCTGTTTCGAAGTCGTTCGGAACGTTGATACAAGGGGTAACAACGACCTACTCTCCGAGACACATGGCCAGCTTCAAAGCAAGCATGCTACGAGATTGTCTGAACTCTTTGTGCGCTGTACACAAACAAAGTCAAGGTCTTCATTTACATGGAAGAATCGACCAATACATGTGGCTGCACATGGCTGTTGTGGCCCCTTCTGACTTACATGCCTAAAAGTGTCTATCTATTGGAGAGTCAAAAATGGTGAACACACCCTGGCAAACAAAGGGCAACCAACGAGGCAAATAGCACGAGACTGGCGTGAAAAGGGCCGGAGATAGAGCCGGCATCAGTCTGACGATGAGAACCGGTTCCTATAACCAAGCAGCAAACGATTATTGAAGGGGCCCATGATCACCTGAGCCCCATGGCCACTGTAATGAAACACGAGCAAGTCCCCGGCCTTTGCCCCGGTGACCAATCTTTCAGGGCCTTCAAGATGTTGGTCTTCGTTGGCAGGGTGTCCTTGGAGTACAGCGTGGACTGGGGGTCGTCAACCAACGTCTGCAGACAATCAACCACTTGCTTTTAGTCATTCTGGAACCTGCCAGTGCCTTTCAGTTACGCAAAGTTATCAGGAAGGGCAACAACACACAATCTTCCATTTCCTAGCCTTACTGAGTAGGTGAGCGCACTGCCGCGACAGCTGGACGCAAGTCAGAATTCTCTAGATTAAGAAGTGGCCCTGCTTGTTTGAATAGGACAAGGGGAGGACAAGCTGCCAGCTAATAATATGCTCATGTGTTGAGAAACTGAACATCTGCAAACCACATCACTGCAAATGAGGTTGCTTTTATTCACGAGCCCTTGTATTCTCAGCTCAGCACAATTCTTCTTCTGAAGCGATCATTAAAAGACCCCGGATTCAACGGTCCGCAAAAGCATCCTACGTCTTGACTGATCATGGAGAACGCAACTTAGCTTATAATCAGATTCAACCTGACGTGATATGATTCAAGGATTACCCTTTTGCATTAGTCTCCTCTAAGTTTAAATGAGAAATTTCAGCAAGAAAGGGAAGCCCATGTAGCTTACCTTGATGTTACTGGTGTCGAAGCCGTATGATTGCACGAGTGTAGTCTTGGCAAGGACAACGTCGTTCACGCAGCCGCTCAGTGGGGGCACATTTGCCGTGCCCTGGTAGTTGCAGCCCACGAGGAGAGCCGCCTTCTTCATCCCGGGAAGGGCATTGGGGGGAGCAATCGAGGAATTAGCCATGGAGGAAGCTGGGAAGGGCCTGATAGAATGCAGGCACTGCTTGTCAAATGCAGAAAGAGTGAGAGGACGGTTGGAGAAAGGTGCGGGGCCTTGAGCCTGGGGAGTTTGCGAAGGATTGCGAATGCTGTTGGGAGCTCGATTGCAAAAGGAGTCTTTGATGGTGCGCAAGTTTTGGAGATCAGCAGCCGCTTTTATAGCCTGCGGCTGAGCTCGTTTCAATTTGCCAAGTCCACTAGGACTTCGAGTCGGCATCATTCATTGCGTGAACTCTGAAGGCCTTGCTTGGGGACCAGATCACCCACGGAAAGGACTTTGCCGGAAGGTGCTCTACCTCCGGCCCGGGGCTTGCCCCGGCCGACGTACCGTGCCGGGGTGCCAGGCGCGCCAACATGATTAAAGTAGCGCTGAGTGCACCTCTCGACAGCTGGGGCCCCGGGGCGTTACGATGGTTCCCCGACCTGCCGCCCCGGGGAGCTTAAGAGCTGTACTGCCGCCCCCATCTGGCACTCTGCCAGCATCCCTTGAAAATCTCCGCTGCGATCAGTACCGTACTCGGTACTGGATCACTAAATGCTTCTTGACAAGTTGAAAGTTCTTGTTTGACTATCAAAGCATGTCGGTGCATTATGGCTCTCGAGCTGCCGCCTGGGAAGCTAGTAAAAGCAAATATCTTCAGCGTGCGGAGTTATTTCCTGTACCTAGCTGTACCTAGCTGTGCCGTACGCTACCTTATACCGGTACCAGCCGCCCTGCAAAATGTCTTTAGTTGTAGGACTGTGTTAGTCCTGCGAAAATTTGAAGGTAACATGGACTCCGGCTTGTGAATCGTATTGTATTTTCCAGTGTTACCAGTTGCAATCGACCCTCGCGAGTCGCCAGACGCCGGATTCCTGGACGTTTGGAAGTACCGGCCGGACAGCTGGGAAATTCCACCTATTAGATAGTCTCGTTTGGAATCAATTTGCGCCATGTGGACCCCATGTGGAGTACGGCATCATGTCATACCACCAGCAGTCTGATGCTTGCAGTCCCTGCGCTATGCCTGGCAGTACGTCGACGGTACGTTTGTACTGGCGTTCAAAGCAGTACCTAGTAACTAGTCATGCAGACTAGGTACTGCCAGTACTGCCCACCTAATACCTATTATAGAGTAGTTAGTACTAACACGCATGCGAAAGTGGTGGCACAACAATGAATTTTGCACTTAAATTACCTAAGACTTAGGTCATTGCATCTGCTGTTGACATCAGCACCTGCACCTGACTTCCATGTGCATAATGGATCTCAATCGAGACGCAGAGCTGGTGCAGCGGAGGAGTGCAGTGAAACTGCCGCACGTACTGGCCAGCCTGGCCGGGCGGTACCTACTTTGCAAGGTACTGTGCTGGATCCTGCACGTACTGCGACTGTGCTTCCGTATGACGTCGCTCTAGCCTCTGAGTCAGCTCTCTTCACTGACTCATGGTGTCATCTCAGCAGTCATGGTGTCATCCCAGCACTTACTATATGGTGTCATCTCAGCAGTCATGGTGTCATCCCAGCACTTACTATATGGTGTCATCTCAGCAGTCATGGACCATGGTGTCAGGACTCAGAACTCATCTCAAGGAGCTAGGATCAGGAGTCAGCAGTTATGGTGTCAGCAGATCAGCAGTCGTGGTGTCATCTCAGTCATGGGATGCATCATTCAGTTTTTCTCAATTTAGTGAACAGTTAGTATGAAGTACCTAGCAGACAGTAGCCGAGTGTCCCAGTGAACAGTAAGCAATTTGGAGTTCACTATTAGGTAAAGCCTTAACCAGAAACTTATCCGCTCGGCACCCGTACCCCACCCTAACCCCCTAACTAACCCTACCCGTCTCCTCACCGGGCGCTGTTGCTGTTCAACGTACTACTCATCGATCAGGATGCACTCTGCCTTTAAACATCCGAAGTAACTATGTCTATGGACAATTCATTTGCGCATCATGTAGGGCAGTAGGGGAGGGTCTGTGGCCGCAGCTCAGGCGCCAGCTCGCTCAGGCGCAAAGGCTCGTAGTCTAGGGTAGAACGGTAGGTTCAAGAGCATATATACCGTAATATTCCTACACTAAAAACCTCGGGCCGTTTTGAGATTGATAGATGAGACCACCTGGATCTCAAAAGGGGTATTTTGAGATTGCTCTGGCCTCACGGGTTTTGCACCGTGAATTAGTATGAGTGCGCTTCGTCCTCAGATGGGCATAGTGCTTCAAAGCACTCAAATTCAGGATATACGTTTGAGATTCAGTCAGTCTCCGCACCGTGCGGTGCAAGTGCGACTCCCCGTTGCACGAGATTGTTTTGGCCTCACCAAGATTGACAGCAAGTTAATTGACTATAGCGGCGCCTCTGTTCATCATCGAGACTTCTGCCAGTCGACCGACTCAGTCATGGCATGATGATCCTCCCCTGATCATTTCTCAATACTAAAGGCCTTACTTGGAGTTGCGCAACGGGGTCATGCACGAGGTTATGCAGAAGATGTATCCAAACCGTTTTAGTAGGCAAGGATGATTCACAGCTTGACATGTCATTATAACAACTTGACATATCATTATAACAATATGTAACACGGCGGGAACCGACTCCGAAGCACATAGCTAGTAGGCATAGGTGTGAGCTAGCGCTCACCTAGTAGCATCCTGAAGTGAATGCACTGAATGCACGAATGCACAGGGTGGCGGTCCCTCTTCCACCGCATTCTACCTTGAGCTACCGACGAAAACTCCTGCGTAACAGGCGATTTGATTGGCAACAAACGAAGCCCCTCAATCTACGATAGACCTGTGGCTTTAAGTAACTTTTGGCCCTCGGAAGAATCCCACTACTACGCGCATCTGCGCTGCGCTCCTCTACCTTCAATGTACATATTCTCTGCACAAGGAAGGAAGGCGAAAGCGTGTCGGCAAACCAGGAGCGGCATCATTGTTTCGAATTACGGAACGTTCTTCCCAACTGCATATCGCGTAATCATGGAAAAGGACTGTGTTCTCGAACAAAGCGTCTACTAAGCCTCTAGTTGCTCTAGCACGTTGCTGTGCTTTCAACTCATCAAACCTGTTCCTCTCGTCAACGTTGTAGAGCCCTTTGGAAGACAAGATCTTCGTTGACCTACTTTGTCCGCTCAAGAAGAGGTCAAGCCGCCTAGCTCAGACGACCAAGGAACGATGCATGGACCACCTAGAATGATGCAGCGGATACCTACCGGAATCTTACCGGAGTCTGCGAGGACTCTCCCCTTGCTGGGAAACTGCGTCGAAGCAGGTCGCTTGACAAGACCTATGCAACGAAGCAGTCTCCGAAATCTCTAGGAGCTACGACATATTGAGCACTTACCTCGTTCAGCGCCACGTCTCGTCAGGGCGTCTCCTTCGGCGTCTCTTCCTCCACCTCCTCCACCCAGCACACCACGTGGCCGGCCTCGTTGCGCTTGCGGAGATAGCGGTAGATTCGGCCTCGAGTGCTGACCGTCCTCCCCTCCATTTGCTGCACATCGAGGGACACGTTGTGAAATCCACTTCCAAAGCTTGGCTTCAGACCCAAAAGAAGCGTGTGCTCCTATCCAGAAAATCTGATGGCAGTCGCGCACACCTCGACGATGATCGCCATTGCTGCCGGCAATAGATTGGGTATTGGTAGGACCCTTCAGCATTTTGAACGGGTGAAAGCGTTGAGGACCAAGAAGTTTCTCCATCTTGAGCAGAAAACGGTCCAAACGTCCCGCCCAGCTTTATGTGGACACTCAGGGTGCACACGAAGAGTCACCGAGGAGAACCAAAGACAAGCGGTGTCCGAAGCTTAGTCGTACCGGTGCGCATGGGGTGACAGAAGCCAACAACGGTGTTGGCCAATCTTCTATTGCTTATAACGCTCACATCTGTGACGGTTGGACAGGGTCACACGCTGCCTGTCTACTTCGCATGTGCGGAAACCA